TATTTAAAGATCAGTCAATGGACAGCAAGTTAATTTATAAGATGCCCCATAAATCTGTGCACAGCCCATGTGGTCGCATCTCAACAATAGGCTGAGCGAATGGTATATATTTAGAGGTAGAAGCATGATCTGTCAAGGCGTTCATTATTATCTTTTTCAAGATAAAGATCTAAGCCCTCATAAAAATCAGAAATATCTCGAGCCTTCAAATTGCATATTGCTGTTCCTGCAGAATGGGGTGATTCACCTTAGTGACCCCCACCATATCTACTGATCAGCTAGCGCCACCCTCCCTCGTTGATGCTGTCATCCACAATGAAAAAGACGCCCATGAACTCAAGTGTCTTGTGCTATGACTGTGATAGTACCAATCCGTTTGAAAGGACATATGTCAATGGTCAGTTAAGTTAGGATAAGCCAAGTGTGTATAAGAGTGTAATTTTTAAACTGACTTGCACGAATAAAGGCATTTCAAGTTTCAAGCTACTATTTGAATGCTATTAAATTTGGTGTAAGTTTCTCTGTTTCTACGCTTGGTTGACCAGATACGTCGTGTGTTTGTTCGTCATCTATATTCTACAATACAATGACATGATCTTGTCACCGTTCAGATTTGAGGATATAGCTGATAGAAGGAAGTCAGAAAATGAACTCTGCGACGATTTTCCAACCTAGGGCGTCAACCTGAGAAGGGTTGTAGGCGTACTGCTGTAAGTCCTACAATTCTTCAAAGGGTGGCGCATCAATGAGCAGTCCAATGTGCTTGGTGTGTGATTTTGTACATACGTTCATGTTGTATATACTGGATTGATATCATCTTTCATCTAGCTGTTGGTAATTCTGTTTGTGTCCGGACGACTTCCACTTGGATCATCAACCTGAGAAGGAATGTAGGTGTACTGCTGTAAGTCCTACGGTTCTTCAAGGGTAGTTTGTCGTGCCAGAATCCACCATTTTGATGTGTTGATTGTACATATGTTTGTGTTAAATAATTGTGTGAGTTCCAATTATTGTAATTGTTGGTTAATCTTGATTGTGTCCGGACATTCCACAACTTACAATCGTCAACCTGAGAAGGGTTGCAGGCGTACTGGTGTAAGTCCTGCAATTCTTCAAAGGAATTCCATCAAGACATGATCCGCGAGTTTGTGTGTACTGTTTGTATATATGTGTGGTGTGTCATCAATTGGTGTTTTTCGGATTCATTGTGTTTACTCGTTGTTTTCGTACCTTGTTTTTATTGCATAATTTTGCTGAAATTTTCGTCGTGATCACTTCTGAAGTTGTTTCGAGTCTTCTACCTGCGTGAATGAATTGATTGATGTTAAGGACAGCAGATGGGTCGTTAACACCGGGGAGGCTATTTCTGAGAATGACATGCATACGTTCATTAGGATTAGCTGTGGAATCAATGATTGAGAAAAAATGTTTCTATTTAGGCTGTGGTCCCACACGCCGGGAGAGTGAGTGTAGACGACTGAGGCTCGCATACGTCACCGTTACTAGAACTGAGGCAGAATGAGTGACAAGCAATTGCAGTGGTAATTGGTAGTGAATAGATAAGAAGATGTGCGTAGAGTATCATGAGGTGCTGCTATGGTCACGACGTTGCCTTCTGCAAGAGTCATTCTAGCTAGCGACGATTGTGTTGCAAGAGGATGCCTTTGTCTGGAGGCGCAGGTCGTGATTGATGTGTGAGATTGTGCTGTGAGTATGCTTGTGGTGTGTTGGCTTTTCTGTTTGTTTTCCATTTCAGCTCTGTCCGTGTGACCCAGGTTCTCGCAATGGCATCCAGGTCAACGTGTATTGGTCGTGATGGAAAAAAGGGATGGATCCCTTTTTTGCCGGGGAGTGTCAATGTAGTTGAAGATTGAACGATCAATTCATGGTTGTTTGCTCAAACCCTACTCTTCCATATTTTTCGTGGGAGTCATCAATCCCACAGTCATCGTCTCATCGTTCGCTGTTCAGGGGAAGATAAAAACTATCAGAAGTATGACCGTGATTTATTTTTATAACATTTATTCTTAGACCTTGTGTAATAACCTTATTGTTGGTTACATATTGGCGAAAAAAATAAAGGATTCTCAAGTCGCCAATCTGTGTTCTGGTTTTCGCGTTGGTTAATACAAAGTGTTTCTGAAAGTCTTCGAGGGACAGCGTGAGGTCCAGCGTAGTAAGAGCTGGACGCTGACAGTTTATGAGAGTTGGCTTACAACGTTCTGTCGCTGTTTGCGTTCGCTGCAGAGATTTATGTTCAGTTTATGTCAAATTTGGTGAACACTGAGTGGTGGCATACAATGAGTTTATTTTCACGGATCTCCAGCTTCATGAGGGGGGCAATTAAGGCCATAATTTAGTTGTTCACTATTTTGCAGAGGACCTGAGCAAAATTATTATTGTGAGTTATACTGATATTTGTTTATAGACTTTGTGCTCTAGTAACCTCATACTGCGAAGCTATCGTCACAGGGGAAGTAGGCCATCTTCCATCTGCCAACCTGTCTCTTGATGTTCTCGAGTTGGTCACTGTAGATGGTATCTGAGTTGTAGTAGTCAGTCTTCTGGCAACAGCACTAGCTTCATGATCTGTGGATTGAGCGTCTTTAAATCTGGTACGTTTATAGTCTAGGTGTAGAATCTACGAACACTCACTTGAGGTATGAGTTTCCCTAACCCTCAAAAGCTCCGTTTACACTCTTTTGCTGTAAACTTCTGTCCCACAGGTGTCAAAACATGACTGTATCTGTTTTTTTAGGAAAAAACTTTAGTGATGCTCATGTGGTCTACGTAATCTATGGGTTAACTTTCGATACCGGAAGATTTAGCGGTATTTAATAATTATCTGTGATTTCCCTGACCAGAGTAAAAGTTTGCTGCTGCTCTTCGGTCCAAGTTAACCTTGAATTATCCAGCGATTTACACAGTCGCTGCGCTCTTCAGTCTAAGTTTTCGAATAACCGGTTGGAAAATGTAGGACTTCAGGGTCAGTACCACAAATTTTCCTCTAAATTCGGCGTTGCACCATTCTTGATCGTCATGATCTCGAGCAGATGTTCTCTCTCTGTGTTGGGTAGTTTACAGCCCCGCAGGATAACGCTGCTTTTGGCTACCTGTGATTTACACTTATTAAAACATATTTCAGATTCTGCAGCACAACTAAAATGGCTTATGTGTAATAATATATGGTGTATATGGTCGTTTTCTGGCCCACCGTATACAGCCAAGTTGTCCACACATATTTATAAGTTTTATAAAACTCCTCAGTCATGAAATCATTGATCTCCGGAAAGTAAATAGATGTGGAGCTAGTGAAAACGGACCTGATGGCCACAAAAGGTACGTTCACGCTACTTCTGAGGAGTTATGTGCGAATTAGAAGTGAGGTCGCCGAATCAAAGTCTCAAAGAAACGTAAATCTAGCACTGAAAAAAACGTAGTGGGGTCATGTTGCTCTTCTTTCATAGCAAAGTATTAGGTCTCTTCATCCTTGACAGGCTTAAAACGATTCTGGATCCAAGACGTCAATTAGAAGAAGCTGAATTCAGGAAAAATAAGTTGTAAAAGAATCCGATAGCAGCCTTACGGATTATCGTCTAGGAGAGCATAGGATGTCAAACAACACTCTGGCTTAAATGAGTCGGCATTGTAGAAGCCTTCGAAAGCGTCGACTGAGAAATAATTTGGAAAATGCTTCGGCAATGGTATAACCATTTATCATTCTCATTCGGTAGTCACGTGACGACATCAAATGTCAAGAAATTCTCAACCGAAGGCCCAGAAAGACCATTTAGAAAGGGCAGGTGTAAAACCTTTTCTGATTACTATAACTTATGATGTTCTTGATTTTGGTGTACTGGACAATGCAACACACCATGAGGAGCTAGAAGGCCAGCATACGATGAGCTAGCTGAAGGATTCTGGAATGATCGTGAATCTGTAGGCGACTTATCTTACAGCGTAAACTCAAAGCCCTACAGGTGGCACTTTCGAGGGTGTTAAATGCACATAAGGTTGGGAAAGCATGACAGTCGTTCAGTAATCTGAAATCATTATGGTAGCCTGTTTTGCTCCATATAAGTAAATAAAGGATTTCCATAAGGAATGGAAACTAGGTCTGCCTTCATCCTACTCAGATCAGCGATTAGTGAAACTGTGTATTGACTATTACAAAGTCGAACTTACCGGATCCAACAATGTTTAGTGGTTGGTAGACCCCCATTCTGACTGGCACAAGCCACAGTGTTTTCATCTGCTGGTTTGCTTATGAGTAAATGAACAGTTGCCTTATTTTTGCTAAGGCTACTTCTGTGTATTGATGCTGCCTGCAGCTTAGCTACTTTCCAGAATCAAATTTCCCAAGAATGTTGCTCATTAAGTTAGGCGGAGTAGGTGCCTAAGAGAAGGTTGGCTTACTAATGCAGAATACATCTCGAAGGTAGAATGCTTCTGAAACATCTGAATGCAATAAAATTATTTATCAATCGTCGTGGCATTACACTGGAGACATTAGACAAACGTTTGTTTGTATGTTTCAATTACACATATGCATAATTGTTCACGAATACGGTTAGAAATTTCAGGCGCCAGGTGACGGAAACATATCTTGTATGTAATTCTCTTACCATTTGTTAGTTTTGATACATTATAAAAACACTTAATTCTCATGGAATCTAGTGTAATTTAGGAAGTGTGTCACTGAATTTAATCGATCTAACTAACCACGACCAAATGCGTAATAATGTTGTCTTTAGAAGGCTTGTATATGTTTAGATGCTTTAAAATTTAAAATCATTATTATATTGCATACTGCTACTGATTTTATATTTACTTCTATGAAAATGTTGGTTCACTTTTTAGGATAACTGATGTTGACGTTGTATATGGTTATTGGTATTCGTCCTTGATACTTTTCTGGGAAAACGAAGCTTCTTCACTCATTTGTCTTTGACTATTGAGTTTCTTTAACTCTATCATGCGGACTTTATAGAATAAAAGATATGGTTAAAGGAAAATTTCAGACATACTTTCCGTTTGAAAAGGATTCTATGACATATAGCTGCCTACATTGTCGCGCTCATCTTGCTCGTCATGACGATCTTATTAGTAAATCTTTTCAGGGGAGTCAAGGTCGTGCTTACCTATTTAATCAGGTAAGTGTATCACGGGTTTTATTTTTAAAATGTTACACTGTTCTTTCACTAAAGTTTTTGGGACAAGAGAATATCAGCACTTACATTTTCTGCCATCTACTACATTATACGGTTTTGGTGATAAGATGAACCTCTACACGGGCTTGGAGTCTGTTGATATTGGAATAGTCGACTTCTTAAAGAGTAGGAAACTACCATGTGACGTCGTAAGATGAGATATTAACAAAGAAGAAAATTTTCTCTCCAGCATATTTTAGAGAGTTGTAAGAGTACTTCCACATTTGTAAAATACATGTAACCGTTCTTCATAAGTGAAAAGTCAGGAACGACAAACAGCAAATGCTCTAATGTCTCAAATATATTCGTTATTTAATTGAAACTAAGCCAGTAATGATTTTCTACTTCCCAGGTTTTTCTTTTTCTACTTAATAACATGGATTGCCATCATTATATTTTAATATTCGACGGTGAATCACTAAAATAGTGGTCAATATCAAATGTTAGTTCTACTATAAGATGTTGTTTTCTGTGTGGAATGTCTCCCCACTTCACTTCCAAACCCTTTGATCACTAACTAGGTATAGTATTGGCTGTAAAACAAGTAAGGCCAAGAGTTGTTTCCATATTTTAAGGCTTGAGAAAATGTACATCCTTTTGTTTTATAATGTTACAGCTTTCTAATTCAAACTCCGGTGCTCAGATATTTAGCAAATAAATCGAACTGCAAAGAGGTAAATGCATGCAGTCAACTGTCTTGTTCACACCTCAACTCATTCGATGACTTGCAAGCTTGTTAACTTAGTTGTCGTTCATGTTTCTGCCTGGAACCGTGCATCGTTGTCTAAGTGCCTGAACATCAAGAGATTAGTCACACTTCATTCGGTGTGTACGATTAGGTGGTGGCCTATGGCCTCATAGCCTAAACTATAAACATGCCTATACGAGGCAACTGAATTTTGTCTATAAACATATACAATATGTTTAGTGTGAAGTTAGCAGACATTTAAAAAATTTCCTCATTCACATGTTTTCCTTCCCATGCCAAAGATCGTTGCATGAATGTGTACTAAGTACTTTCCAATCCTTTAAAATAGTGAGTGTTATAGTTTTAATTTAGCATAGATTGTATTTAGTTTATTGTGAGATTCTAGCTAAGTCTTCTAGTGAGTACAGTTTAGAATCACATGAAAAGTCAAAATGCAGTTTTTTGAAACGTATTTTTTTGTTTACCAGACTATAAGCCGCACTTTTTATGTGAAGGATCATCATGTCACTCATTCGTCCAGGCTGGGTCAGTATTTGAACCCGAAGTCAACTAGAGGTTGCGTTAAATTTACTGTCACATACATTACTGTGACCTTGGTTCACATCCATGCTTCTGTCTAAGTTGCCACCTTTAAATACAGTGATTGTTAATTGTTATCTTTTAGTTCTGGTATGCATTTACTTGCTTAGAAGTAGCCAACAACTATTGCATGCGAAAGGTTAGATTGTGATGACTACATCTAATCTCGTTGAATAACACATATGTCTTACCTATTAGTAATTATTAGTCGGTGCATTATTTCAGCGAGTATTGGGAGTCGCGTCATGATATTGATAGTTGGAGTTTAGCTAACCTTAGGTTTTCTTTTTTTTGTGACAAATAGACTGCATGCTTAATCGATCCGGTGGGTAACTGTGACCAAAATAAGGGCATCCTATTTCTACTATACTTCGAAAGGTGGTTTGCAGTATTCAAGGATATGTGTCATAGATTAGCCTTATTCTTCTTAGTCAGTTATTTAGCTGAATTATCCAGCCTAAATAAATATTTTATTCACTGGTTTATTTCCGTAAGAATAACTGCTTGACTTAATGACTCAACCTGAAAGAAACAACCTTTACCTAGCTACCCGGGAAGCATCGTTTGAACTACAGGCCAACGGAACTGACGAGGACAAGCTTTCATTACTCTTAAGTCTGTGTGGAGGTCAACAGCACTCAGCATCAAAAATAAGATCAGGATTTTTAACTCCAATGTGAAGTCAGTCAGTGCTACTCACTATACGGATCAGAGACTTGCACTGCGCGTCATAAAGAGCATCTCAAACAAACTACAGACCTTCATGAACAACTTCGCTCAATACTACTCAAGATCAGATGGCCGTCCAGAAAAGATCAGCAACAGGGATCTGTGGCAATGAGTAGACCAACCAGGAACCGATTGTGAAACAAATAGGCAGGAAGAAATGGAGATGGATTGGCTGGCCATACTCTGAGGAAACCATCAAGTGACATCACTAGACAAGCCATTTCTCGAGTGGAACCCAAAAGGGAAGCGGCGAGTTGGTCGTCAGTGTGAGGGTGACTTGGAGGAGGTCATGTGGAGAGGAAATGAAAGCATGTGGGCAGACTTGGAGCGGGGTGAAAAAGTTGGCAGAAAACAGTAGGCAATGGAGACGCGCAGCTGAAGCCCTATGTTCCTCTAGGAATTAAAGGATAAAATAACAATTAATGACTCAATACCTTCCACAAGAGTGCACTAGTTCAATTTACCGCTCTTCAGAAACTACAATCTAAGAAGAAATAATAATTAAACTAAATTGAAATAATAATGATATTTTGAGAACATCTGAAAAGTAAAACTCAAAACATGTTAAGGTTGTTCCATGGAAACGTTATCAGTCTAACACTGAACATAGATAATAACGAATTTCACGTTAGTATTAATAACAGTTTTGTTATTATTTTTATGTTTAATAATTATAAGAGAAGCTTAAAGCTAACTAACCAACTAACTAACCAACCAACCAACAATTTTTATTCTTTTTTATATTTTTTCTTTCTATAGGCTGTAAATGTTCGCTGTGCTGAAGCTAAACAACGCGTCTTATTAACTGGATTACATTTTGTAGCTGATATATTTTGTGCATGTTGTGATACAGCACTTGGTTGGAAGTATGAACGTGCTTTTGAACCAAGTCAACGATATAAAGAAGGCAAAGTAATTATTGAGCTAGTACATTTATATAAAGATAATAGTTGGGATGCTGAATGGTTGTATCCATTGTATCCAGCTACGACTTCTACAACTACCAGTAGTGCTATTTACACTACTAATTCGAATAAAACAAAAGTCACATCTGTAAATTGTAAAAAATCGCATTCAGTCAGTGTGAGTGATTATGAAAGTGGAAAATTTCAGTCATCATCTCTACGGTCTTCACAGATTCCTGTATGTAAATCTTTATCATCAACTACTACTGACGGTGGCGGTATATTCGAGTCGTCGACAACAGATTTAATTGATGTAAGTGATTCATACACAAATTTCGGTCATCGTCAACGACATCAACACCAACATCATCATGCCCATTCTCATTCTCATCATCCTACATCACACAGTCATCATCACCATCATCATAAGCATCATTATCACCATTCGAATTCGTCATCTATCTCTTCATCTACCTCCACAACAGCCTCATCGTCATCTTCTGTTCACACACAACAATCATCGTATAACGATTCATTATCATATCGTCTGAGTTCATCGTTGAATGCAACTGGTTGGGCGTTTCGTATACCGCCTACAGCAACATCATCACATAAAGGCAGTCATAGTTATTGTGAGAGTAGTGGTCATGGTAACAGAAATAATACATGCTTGTTAGATTTATCTGATTCAGGACGTGTTAGTGATTATCATCGGAATTCTGCATCAACATCAATAACTGATAATAACAATAATACTAATAGTATGGGACATTTAAATCCTGTTTGTTCTATTGATAATAATAATAATAACAATGATAGTATTAATAATGACAATAATAATGATGATAGTGGTCTTGAAAATAATGATAATGTTACATCAGAAAGTGTATATACTACTGCAACTGATAATAGCTGTAATCCCAATACTAGCAATAATAATAATAACGCCAGTCAAATCATCATAATGAATGATAATAACAGTGATAAAAATTATAAAGATCATGAGATGTTTACAAAGTCAAAATCACTCACTCCTATTAATACGAAACTGTCTTCTGAAGGTCAGCCAAGTATTATAACTAATACTAACATCCCTACGGCTAGTACTACTAACAATAATAATAATAGTAACAATAATGGTAGTACATCTGGATATAGTCGACTCGAAGGAAAATCATCTGAAATGTCTACTGTTGACATGAATACTGGTAATAGGAACAATCGTATACCAATGGATGATATATGCTTAAGAAAATTATCTCAGGTTAGTTTATACTTCATATAAATACTATCTATGGATGTATTGTGTTTCAGGGTATGCTTATTACTACTATTATTATTCCCTTAGGTTTTGAGTGGAATATAGGGCTTCGACAACACATCTCCATTTCCCCCCTGTTCCCTGAAGTTCTTTTAAGCCGGCATCACGATTGACTACAAGCTTCTATCTTCTGTCTTCACACGATCACCTCTATATATCATCCTTGGACCTACGCCTAACTCATCGTCTCCAACTCGGGTTCCACCCGAGAGCTGGCCTGGTGCGTGAAGTCGATCAACGGTCTTTTCAGCATTTATGTCCAGTCCGTCTCCATTTCCCTCGGTATATTTGTTAGACGATAGATTGTTGGTTGGTTGGTTACCAGTCAGACTCCCATGTCATTTTATCCTTTCTGATTTTCTGATCCTCAGTATCAGGTAAAGGTGGCTGTTGATGAAATTCTGAAGTAACCTCTTGGAAACGCTTTTTGTGACACACCAAGTCTCTGAACCATACAGAGGATCTAACTTGACATTCTAAGGTATCTAAAGAAGTCTTCACAGCAGCACGTCTCTTTTTCATTCTGTTCCACCCAGTCCTTTCCGGTTGGCTCCACTACTGCCCATAAGCTTTCATTAACTCTACTTCATACGATCTCCTCTATGTTACCGTAGGATGGCCAACTTGCCTTTTCCCATTCGGGTTCCAGTCCAGGTTCTTATACATGATGTCAATCAATCTAATCATTACAGAAACTTCAAAGTACAAAACTCTGTATTACATTTCAGTTTTTGATCCTAATTATTTATATTCAACTAAACTTTTTGATAAGATTCAAGTAGAAACTGACTGACTGAGGATGGTCAGGAGGGCTTCGTGTGCTTTTGGAAGTGTGTGGGCAGTTGTTACTTCCCGGTACATAAAAATATAAGTAGAAATAGTGTTTCGTGACCACAAAGCACAGGGGACAACTGCTTGAGGCGGGTCATACACGGCCTGTATGAACTAGCTTTCAGGTTTGGTTCCATATTAGTAACTTACCTCCGGCTACAGATCACTGCAAGGTAAGTTGGGATGTACAATCTCTGGGTTGACATTTTCTAACACCCTCTCTCTAAAGTGGAGAGACAACACAGCTGGCATACTATTTATTGTATTATGATTATTATTGTATCCTTTAGTTCCTAGAGGAACATAGGGCTTCAGCTGCGCACCTCCATTGCCTTCTGTTTTCTGCCAACTTTTTCACCCTGCTCCAGGTCTGTCCACACGCTTTCATCTCCTCCTCGCATGACCTCCTCCAAGTCACCCTTGGACGACCAGCTGGCATACTAGTCATCTGAAAAAACACCTTACTGCAGCTGTTACATTCCTGTTCCCCAGCAGTACGAATTCGCCCACAGACCCCCTTCCGCGCAGTGCAAAACAACTTTTGCATTATTCCGGTAACCGCTTTTAGTCTGGTAGCTATCCTACGAATTTCCTTAGCATGATACGACCTGCAGGAATGTTAGTTCCAGCCAGTGTAGCTTGTTGAGTCATTGAGATATGCAAGCCCGACCACCACATCAAGGCAGTAGCTATCGGTCGGGTTCGAGTAGGAAACAAACACCATTGTTATTTCATTTTTCTCTACCTGCCTTAAACTGTCAGATGACCACAATCAATAAATAAGTCTTAAGAATGATTCCATAAGTAACTCCTTAAATGATTATTTCTGAGTAAGTTAATCTTTTCTTTTTATAAAGGAAAGCTTTAACCATACCTATTATACACAGTCGTGTAAGGCTGTGGCCCATGGGTCTAGGTACTCGACTTCTAAATACTTGGTTACAGGTTCAAACTCTGTCCAACCAATATTGAGAGGTTGGTATGATTAGGTGTGTGTGTGTGTGTGGCTCTATTTTAACTGTGTGTAAATACAAAAGTGACTGTTGAGCAACATTTCATATCCATTCCACGCTTACATGTGTTGCGTATGCTGAGCTACCGCCTTCCTTGTCGAGCAATCTCAGCTGACATAGGACTGGGTTGAAAGAGAAAATCGAGGGCAGGTCAAATAAAATATTGGCATCAATTCATGGAGTGTCTCATTGTTCATTTGAGCTATGTGGGTGGATGTGGACTGCCTTTGTGTAAAACATGGTATGCATGGCAATGTGAACTGCAGTTTCATGCAAAGCTCTGTATTGGAACTCGGTCAGTCAGTCACACTTATTCTATTGTTATCTCGTCTGTTGATTCAATGTTTCAATTTTCATTTATTTCCACTTTTCATCAACCTATAACAGTCAACTTGTTTAAAATACACTGATACTTATTTTTACACATGGTATTATTGACCCCGGATTTGATAATATAAAATGTATATATGCCTTCTGTCATATGATGGTTTTTCCTCAAATTCAGAAAAAGGCGATCAGTTTCATTCATTCTACTGTGTGTGTGTTTGTTCGTCTGTTGGTTTATTCTTCTCAATTTGCCAAAAGAAATTCTAACTAAATATTATTATCTTTTTCTTTTTCGTTATTGTGTTTTCATTCATTTTATGCCTTTAGTGGGATAGAATACCTACATAATAGGTTAATATATGTATCACTTGATACCTACCGAAAAAACCCACGCGTAAACAGTATTTGATAAAAAAGAAATGAGGTTGTAAAATGAATATTAAGGTTTGCTAGTCACTGGTATTATTTTTCAAATACTTTTGATGAAGGTAACCACCGATCTATTTTTGAAAGTATTTCTCATTGTTTGCTGCACTTTGAGATAAATTTGAAGGACAGTGTGAAGATTTTACCTTTCATCATTCCAATGCTTTCCGAGTGGAATGCATAAGGCTTCAAGCTTAAGCGTTGAAGTTTTAGTAGCCTCAGCGTTTTTTGTTTTTGGTGGGGATAACCTCACACCCAAATTCCCCTCTTTACTAGTCTTACTATTGGTTATTTTTAGGAATGCATTATTGGTTGGGAATCGAACTCTGAACCACGTCCGTGGTAGGCGAGCATTCCGACTAGCGGACCATCGATTCACGATGTTAAATGAATTGTCCTTATTAATGTGAGATTTGTGGTTTAGTTATTTGTATTTATATTTCATATTTCCAGTGGTATGTTAGGATTGGAGATGAGTTTTATTTTTACACTGTTTAGTTACTGTAGAGTAACCAATATTAAATGTCTAGTCTGTAACCAACGTAGATAACTTGTTATCAAAATAGCACTTCTGTCTACAACACTGAGTGGTGCGAGTTAAAATTAAGTCGGACGGGGGGGGCAGGCAGCAGTTTTTTCGAGATTGTAGATATTCCCTGTTGACGAGTACCAATAAGGACAAAAACCAGGTGCAGGGTTTCCCGCCAATCGCCCACCAACCACCTAACATGTTTTATGATTTCTGATATTATTCAATGAAGCGTATGTAGAGAGCTTTGAGGAGACTGATATTTTTTGCCGATAGTATTATAAATTATCACTATTTATTACTATTTATAAATATTTTCCTGCTTCAAGTTCCTATCTGTATTGTTGGATTGTGCTGGACTTTTTGCTTACAAATTGGTAAACGGTGAATCTATGTAGCTCCAAGTGGTGATTGTAATGTATTGCCTTACTCCGTAGTTTGACCACTGATTTAAGAGAAACAATATCGTTATTGTCCTGTGCTTTGGTGTAAAACACCGATTTTTCAGTGACTGAATAGATAATTAAATGTTTAGTAAAGTGTGTGTTTTTACCAGCTGACTTGCTTCTGTAGAAAGTAAATTCACTGGTCGTATTATTCAATCACTAGTTAAAAGAGGCTGAGTAGTACTATCCATTGTAAGACTATCTTTAAATCTAAAGTTAAATATCTTTTGGGCTCTAATCAAGTAGCTTTCCGTGAAATGTTGGAAACACTTTAGGACTTTTGACTGAAATGTCAGAAAGAAGTACATATAATGACTCTTTTTCTATAGTCTTTAGGTGTTATTCTACTGACTGACTGAAGATTCAACCTAAATCTATCCAAGCAATAACGCTTCGTCAGAAAGAACTCATCTCCACTTTCTCCTGCATATTTGTTGGTTGGCGATTGGTTCTTGTTTTGTTTGTTTGTTCCCATAGTTTGTTCTTGTTGGTGATTCTTTCCCGCCCGGCCCAGCCCGGCCATCTGATCTTCAGTATAGAGCCAGCGAAGACAGTTAGTTGTTGGTTGATGAAGGTCTGCAACAGGCTGTTGGAAATATTCTTTGTGACCCGCCCGTCAAGTTTCTGATCCGTTCCGTATAGAAGAACTGACTGACTTGACGTTGTTTGTACTGAAAATCCGACTGAATTTTGTTGTTGATGCTGGCTGAGTGACGGAGATTTCCAGATTGGTTTCAGGTTGATGAATGTGTTTCTCGCCTTCCTTCCCGATTCTCGCTCGATTTGACATCCTCGTCCGTTCCGACTTCCTGTATTTGAGACAATGCTCTCTAGTTAGATAAGTGAATGAAGTAACTAACCTCTTTCAAATCCCTCCCGTTAATCGTGCGTTAGCTTCTGTATATGTCTGTTCTTACATTTAGTCTCCTTTTCTCCTAACATTTTATCGACAGTGTAGTTGTGTCTTAGCAACAGTCAAATGCTGTTGCTTTTTTTCTTTCTTTCTTTCCTGTTTTGTTTTCTTCCTTCCTACACGTTGAAATTGACAATACAAAACGGTGAAAATGTTTTTCTTCCCTGCACTTCTCTTTTCCTCCGTCGTATTCATGATAGCTAGGGGGGGGAGGGGCTTTCAAACAGTTTTTTTGTTTGATGTTGTTTTGTGGCAGACATAAAAAAAATACCGTAAAAGTTTGGTCGTAGTATGATTATGTCTGACTACAAGCGTTGCACTTTTCAAGTTATGTAACAAGAGGAGGAGAGAGAGAGAGAAATAGAAAAAAACATGGATATTCCTATGATTAAAAAATAAAGTATGTAGGATTGGTATATATATATATATATATATATATATAAAGGCATTTTAGGCCA